TCTGGTTTTTGTTTTTGTTTTTGTTTTTTACTAAGAGGTCTTTGCTTTGAAAATTCACTGGGCTCATACCAGTGAAAAGTAACTGAAAAAAGTCTTAAGACTGCATCCTTCATGCCTTTGAAAATGCAGTGTACCCTTGAGCAGGTCACCAGCCCAAATCCTGCTAAGTCAAAATGTGCCAGCTATGCTGATATAGGATGAAATACAACTGATCAAAAATTTAAAAGCTTGTCTATTTCCCAGCATGCATCAGGCCGTTTTCTCTCTGCGTTCCCCTCTCTCTCCCCCACATCCCCCTCCAACCTATCCACTCACACACTCACTCTCTCTCTCTCTTTCTCTCGGAGTCTCTCTCTCTCCTCTCCTTTCACAATAAATCAAGCAAGTGGGCATAGGCAATCCTCCAAAAGGACCGACCTTTAAGTGCAGAACAAAATCAGCATGTTCCATCCAAGCTTCCATCATACATTATGCATGCGACAAAGTTTGGCAACAGTGGAGCTGATGTGATAACACAGCTTATCAATAAGAACCCACCGCGTGAAACCTTTATAGTGGTGACTTTTTTTTTAAGGGCTCAAGTGAAGAAATTGTCTTTGTCAACTTTGGCTTAGAATATCCTTATATAGTTCAGGTACTTTGTCCGGGTCCACTGGTCTAGGTAAAAAATGTGTAAATTTTTGATGCCGTTTAGTCCTAGCCCCTTCTCTTGGAGTTCCGTCTTTATTCAATGCAACATAGTAGCGTCTTCCAGTGTCCACGTGCTTGTAGAGATTCGATGAATATGTGTTGTACCAGTTCTCTTCAAACTGTTCTCTGAATACACACTCTTGGGTTAGTTTTTCCTGCAAAAAAAAGAAAGAGAGAAAGAAAACAGAAATGAGTATGTTGCAGAATGAGCTTACTGGCTGCACCTTGTAGACTATATTCTATTGCCGCACATTAGAGCCTATGAGAAAACTGTATCCGTTTTGCAAAAACCACTTATCTCTGTAAGTTTCGTGACATTCTCATTTCCTATTCATAATAACTAAAGCACAAAAGACTTTGGATGTTTTCTAGTTAAACCGCAGACCCCTTTCAAGAGAAGTTGCTGTTTTCCCTTCTGAAATCTGTTCAGTCCACATGCCAATAACTTGCATGAGTCAAAGAGGCAGAGGGCAATGAGAACAACGGGCCCTTCTCATTTTTCACTATGGCAATAAAAATCGTGAAGGTCTTAGGAACGGAGGCCTTGGCTAAAGCCAGAAGTTCAGATAACTGATCCATCTTTACTACGTCGTTTTATGAAGTGGATCGTCATTCACAACATTTATCAGTGAAGTCAGATAGGTCTGCCCCCTTAAGCTGGAAAGAGGCACTCTGGTGGCACAGTGGGTCAAGCATTAGGATGCTAACCCAAAGGTCAGCAATTTGAACCCAGCAGCCACTCCGACGGAGAAAATGAGGTAGTCTGCTTCCAAAAAGATTCTTGTTGTTGTTAAGTACCATCGAGTCAGTTCCAACCCATAGCGACCCTGTATCGGGTTTCCGAGGAGCAGCTAGTGAGCTTGAACCGCCAACCTTATGGTTCAAATCGACCTTGGAGTCTAGCACATTGACCCACAGAGCCACACCAGGGCTCCTCATGGAGATTACAGCCTTGCCAACCCAGTGGGGCAGCTCTGTTTTGTCCTATAGAGCCGCCATGAGTCGGAAGGAACTTGATGGCGAGGGGGTTTGGTTTGGGTCATTGTTGTTGTGAAGTGCCGTTGAGTCGGTTCTGACCCATAGCGACCCTGTATAGGGTTTCCAAGGAGCAGCTGGTGAGTTTGAATTACCGACCTTGCAGTTGAAACGACACTGCAGTCTGGCGTATTAACCCACAGCGCCACCCCAGGGCTCCTTAGACACTTTTCAAAAGTGAGTGTGCAGAAGAATCATCTGGGATTCTTGTTTAAAATGCAGCCACAATCCTTTGAAATTCTGATACAGAAAAGTCTCAAAATGTGCATTTGAAGCAGGCACTCTCAGGGAATCCCGGGTCCACGTGCTCGGATAGAAGATTTTTGTCAGTTGCACTGCTAACCAAATGACCATTCTGTTGCTGTAGGTTCCCAGCTTGGGACCTCGACTGGGCAGTTCTACTCTGTTCTGTAACATCGCTATGAATCAAAGGCAGTGGGTCAGCAGTACGAATGAGTGCATGTGAGTACAAAGAAAAACAATGATTCTAGTCTTCCTATGTCCTTGAATCTGGACTTAAAAACCCCCACCCACCCATCAAGCCACTACACCTGCCTCCCAGGCACACAGCTTCCAAGAGAAGAGCTGTTCTTCTTCCTACCTCCCCAGAGCAGAAAAAGGGCCATCGTGCCATAAATATATGTTGTTGTTGTTGTTGTTGTGAAGTGTCGTTGAATCGGTTCAAATCCATAGCAACCCTGTATAGCGTTTCTGAGGAGTGGCTGGTGACTGAGCTTGAACCGCCGACCTTGCAGTTCCAAGCAACATTGTAGTCCAGCGCATTAACCCACAGCACCACACCAGGACTCCCATAAATATATGAGGGGGCTTCAAAACATTCATGGGGAAAAATGGAATGAAAAGATAATGGAATTTTTCCATGAACTTTTTTACTTCTCCTAATATTTCTCCTCCCAGCACCCCTTGGGCGTTTTGAAAGCAGGGTTTCCATACGTTATTCCATAATCTAGGTGCCAACAGGTTGCTACCTGTGGCCAGTAATGACCAGAGATAACCTACATGTCACATCCAGAAACCACATAGAAATGTCTGCTTTCCAGCTGGCTCCTCAGAAACAGGGGTTCTGAGGACTTTGCTGCTCTTTTCGTCCCTAAAAGAAAACTCTTAAAATAAGCGCCTTCCTAGACAGTCCTTTTAAAACGATACACCAAGATGATTTTTTTTACAAAATAGCAACCTAGCTCATGCTTAGCTGGCATCTTACATGAACAAGAAAACGTGAGAGGAAGAATTCCTTTCTCTTTCAGTTCCACCTTTTTACAAATTTTTTCAAGCCTCCTCATACATGCCCAGAATGCCGATGTCCTCTGCCCCTGCAGGCAGGGACAAACGTAAAGAAGCACACACAGTTCCTAGATGTTGGGTGAGTGAGGCCCATTAGCCCCCACTGCTTAGGGAGCAAGGCAAGTGAGGAAAGGAGGGAGCAGGAGAGAGCATTTGACACCTCATGAGCCCACTACTGGAATTCTGGTGTGGTGCTGCAGGATAAGCACTGAACTTCTAGCTATAAGGTCAGTGGTTCAAGCCCACCAGTCGCTCCTCAGAAACACTATACAGGGTCACCATGGGTAGGAACTGACTTGACAGCCCTTAACAACACTGAGCCCACAATTAGGCTAGTCTCTCTGGTCTGCCCTTTAAGAAAGCCCAGGACTGAAAACGCCCCACAGAGCAGGTCAATCTGTACTTCCAAACAAGTGCCCTTCCCAGTGACCAGAGAGCACCAGGGAAGTGTCCAACAAAGACCATCTCACTGTACAGAAATTATGCTACATAAGTCGAGCAGGGCAATACAGAAAGAAAAAGGAATGCCTCAGAAAAGGACAAAAATGATGGCTGATGCTGGGAGTGACTGAGGCGAAACCAACTGTAGAAACTGACAGGTTACCTGTAGCTCCATCCGCAGATGGACTACTCCCACGTGGTTGGTACGAATTGGGATCAACTTGGTGGTAGCAAGTTTGGTTTTTGGGTTTTAGGAGAAGCTGCGAGGAGCCCTGGTGGCACAATAGTTAAATGCTCTGGCTTCGAACCAAAAGGTCAGTGGTTCAAACCCACCAGCAGTTCCACATGAGAAAGATGTGGCGGTATGCTTACGTAAAGATGACAGCTTAGAAAACTCCATGAGGGCAGTTCTGCTGGGTCACATGGGGTCGCTATGAGTCAGAATCAACTCAACAGCACCCAACAACAAGAGAGATCTCTGGGTGGTCTCTGGGTGGCTGCTAACCTGAAGGTTAGAGGTACGGGTCCACTCAGAGGCAACTCAGAAGAAAGACTCGGTGATCTACTTCCAAAATATCAGCCACTGAAAATTCTACGGAGAGAGTTCTACTCTGATACATATGGGGTCACATGAGTTGGGAGTCCCATCAACAGCAACTAGTTTTAACTGGTTTATCATTTGTTTTGATTTTGGCAGAAGCTCTACACATGACAAGGAGGAGGGTACCCTATGGCGAGGCGGTCTTCTCCCCTCCCTCTCCAGATGAACCCAGAGTGATGTGCTCTGTAGACCTCCACTCCTACAGTGGGAGAATGAAGCAGATGGTAATTTTCATCCATCTCTATTAAAACTAATGAAACAACAATATTGTGCTGAAGGCTTTAACAACCGTTTTAGTCTTTAGTTCCATCTGAGTAATCAATATTCTCCTCCTAGGGAAGAGGATTCCAGGTAGAAAGAGTCTGGTTTGAGTTTTTGCTGTAATTAAGTAAGCTTTCTAAACAAATTGTGTATATCTTTTCATTAATAAAAGGAACCCATGTATGAACTTACACACTGAGCCTTTAGTTCTACAAGGACATGCAATGCAAATTCAAATTAAGTTTTCTTTTTCGTAACAGAAACTCACATCACCTGACAAGCACTTGGGAGTTAATCTTTACTGAAAAGGTAGAACGCTCTCTCCTTCTTTGGAAGGAAGGCATAAGCATGCCTTATGCCCCAGTTTTTATTACATTTGCATATATAACATGGCTAGAACACAATGACCTTTTTTGGATTCAAATATATACAGGGTAATCTCAATAGAATATAGCTAGTTGGCCCAATAGAAAAAAGTATGGCTTTGGACTCAAAAATATAAGTGAATCCCAGGGTCACTCCTCACTAGCTGTAGGACAATTACAATGAACGTTTCACTTTGTAAATCTTGGATGGTAAAAAGAGTTAACACACTCAGCTACTAACTGAAAGTTTGGAGGTTCAAGTCCACCCAGAGGCACCTTGGAGGAAAGGCCTGGCAAACGACTCCCCTCAGAAAACACCACTGGAAACGCTGGAGCACAATCCTACTCCGACACAGACAGCATCACCAGGAGACAGGGTCAATTCCACGGTAACTAGTGCACGTAAATTTTGTAGTCCCATATTTCAAACACGTTACTAACAGCTAGCATGAGACAGGTTGTTACAAAGATGAAATCAGAAAAGGGTACCGAGCACATAGCTTGGTGGTGGTGTTGGATGCCATATCTGACTCGTAGTGACTGACCCTCTCTACAACAGAACAGACGCACTGACTGGTCCTGCCCCAGCCTCACAATCCTTGCTATACTAGAGTCCATTGTTGCAGCCACCATGCCAATCTATTCAATGGAGGTCTTCCTCTTTTTTGTTGACCCTCTACTTTGCCAAGTACAATGCCCTTCTACAGGGATTGATACCACGTGATAACAAGCCCAAAGTACGTGAGACAAACCTCACCATCCTCCCTTCTACGGAGCATCCTGGCTGCACTTCTTCCTAGGCAGATTTTTTGTTCTTCGGGCAGTCCACAGTGCGTTAAATTATCTTTACCATAACTCAAATGAGCCAATTCTTGTCCAGTCTTCTTAAGTCATTGCTCAGCTTTCACAAGCATGTAAGACAACTGAAAATACCATGGCTCGGGTCAGGCACACCTTAGTTCTCAAACTGACATCTTTGCTCTTGAACAGTTTAAAGAGGTCTTTGTGCAGCAGATTTGCCCAATGCAATACGTCCTTTGGTTTCTTGACTGCAGCTTCCATGGGCACTGGTTGTAGATTCAAGCATAATGAAGGCATTCACAACCTCAATGTTTTTTCTCTGTTTATCATCTTGCTTATTGGTCCA